GCGCGCAGGCCTGGCTCACGGCGCCCCTGCTGCAGGGCGCCTTTGGCCGGACACCGCTGTACCGGGCTGCCTTTGGGGGCCACCTGGAGGCTGTGGAGGTGCTTCTGAAGCTCGGAGCTGATCCCCGGGTGTACGCGGACGACGGCAGCACCCCTGCGCAGGTGGGAGCACCTCCGAAGTGGTCTGAGCCATGCCACCCTGGGCCCTAACCCTGCAGGGCCCTTCCCCGCCCCCCCAGAGCCCTTGTTTTGAACCTCAGGGTCGCCCTTGGTCAGGACCAGGTGCTGCCTGGGGAACTAGTGTACTCGTGCAGGTGGGGAAACTGAGGCTGACGGGCCCACCCACCTGGCCCCTGGCTCTCAGCACGTCTAGTTTCTCCAGTTCCAGGCCCCTGGAACCGGCCTGGTCAGACGGGGTCTGTGGGAGCAGCCGTGAAGCCGCAGAGCGCAGTGCTGCTTCCTGACCCCCACGTGAACCTGACGGAAGCAGCGCCCCCCCATCCCTCTCGGTCGTGTCCTCCCACCCCAGCTGTGATCCTCCGGGAGTCTGTTGGTGGCCCCGGTCCTCACCGGCAGTGCCAGGATCTTCGCCAGCTGAGGACCTGTGCCCAGGGCCCCGCCTCCACTCCGCGCTGCCTCCCCAGGATACTGTCCTGGGGTCCCCCTTGTCTGCTCCCTGGGGCCCTGGCTTCATCTCCGTGGTCGTCTGCATAGGCTGGAAGAGCAGCGGATCCTTGGGCTTCTGCCACCCGCCCCTGCTTTCTCGGGGACAAATGAAAATGTGGATGCAGACCAGGAGGACAAAGGCCTGGCTGCTCCTCAGGAGGGAGCACGGAGAGGGGCCTCTGGGCTGGGGTGGGCCCAGCGGGACCTGGAGGGGTGGGGAAGCGTGTGTGCAAGGGCTGTCGAGGACATTGCAACACAGCCGGGGGCCATGCGGAGGGACCCTGGGGAGAGCAGCACACCCGGGCAGGGAGGGGTGGCTGGAGGTGCCGGGAGCCCAAGTGCCAGGAAGGACAGTCTTCAGCCAGCAGCGCTGGAGCACGGGACATCCGCAGGCAAAGAAGGGAACTTGGACCTCACCTTACAAAAACCTGGCTCAACGTGGTCACAGGCTCAAGCGTCCAAAGTGCACCAAGACCTTCAGAAGAACACGGGAAAAGCGAGACCAGAGGGCGGAGCTTCCCGAGTCATTAGCTGCGTCCCCGGCAGAACTCGGGGACACCTGCAGATGGACAGAGCCCTGCGGCTCCCGACAAGGTGAAGCGCCGGGTCTGGCAGCCAGTGACATGCAAAGAAGCAGGAAAACGTGACCGTATGGAGAAAAGTCAGCCAAACTGACAAGCCCAGAACGGCCCCAGGTGTTAGGATTCGCACATCAACACTTTTTCACAGCGGTTCTAACTGCGTTTCAGATGCTCGAACGCTGAAGCCGAGACGGGGGTGATATTTGAAAAAGGCCCGAGTTGAAATTCTAGAGATGAAAACTGCAATGTTGGGGATGAAAAGACAAACACAAAAACTCCGAACATGATTGATGTCAGCGCCGGCAGCCGGACGTTACACGTCAGTGGGACTGGAGACTTCGCAATAAGAAACTCTCCACAATGGAAGCGGAGAAGGAGCGACCTCTGCACGTGGGAAGAGGAGCACTGAGCTCGGGGCCGTCTCAAGAAGCCTGGTCTGCACACGGGAGAGAGGAAAGAAGAGAAATGGGAAATTGTTTTGAAGAAATAATGACCTTAAAATTTCCAGATTTAATGAAAAAGATAAACCACATTCGCAAAAGGTCAACAAACCGCAAGCACAGGAAGGAAAATCACGCCGAGGCTCCTCACGGTAAACTCCCCCAAAGCAGTGATAAGAGAACGCCCTGGACGCAGCCAGAGGCAGGAGGACCAGTTATCCGCGGAGGGGGAGGGGCAAAGGTGCGGTGGAGGTAGGTTTCCTGTTGGCGACAGCACAGGTGAGGGACAGCAGGGCAGCCCCATGAACGCACTGAAGGGACAAACTCTGCCACCGCTGAACGCTACACTCTGCAAACATCTTCAAACTGAAGGCAAAATAAAGACCTTCACAGACATACGAAAGCAGAAGGACTTGATCACTAGCAGACTCAGACTGAAGAGACGTTAACGGAGGTCCCCGCAGGCAGAAGGGACAGTGCGGAAAGACAGACCCACGCAAAGAATGAGGAGCTCTAGGAAGGGTGGCGAAGCAGGCTGTGGAAGCCGTTGTCTTATTGTTTAAATTTATTGAAGAAACAAGAATCGAGAATAATGGCTAAGTGTCATGGGGTTTTATAGCACGTGCAGATGTTCATACTGAAAACTGCACAAGTTATAGTGGCTCAACTGCGTGACTATCGTAAAGTCTGGGAGGGGGAAATGGATTAGATTAAGGTTCTCATACTTGACGTGGAATGGTAATTGTGATCAGTTAGAGACCATACGCTCTACACCTAAAGCAACTACTACTAGATCGAGAGAGATAATAAAGGAGATAAAGTGGAACTCCAAAAGATCAACAACCCAAAGGCAGACCGGGAAAGAGGAACGGGAAAGAACATGGGACCAGCACAAAACGAACAGCCAGGGGCAGCTTCTGACTCCGCTCTATCAGCAATCTCATGAAACGTGCCTGGTCTACCACAACGCGGAGCCTCTCATTTTAGATCTAAAAATGCGACTATATTCTGCCTATAAGAAACAAACTTTAAATATAAAGAGGCAAATAAGTGAGAATTAAAGAGATGGAAATACTGAGCACGAGAAAGGTGAAATGATTCTACTCATATCAGAAAAAGTAGATTTTTAAAACATCATTCGTCTACTCATTTTGTCCATTACCAGGGACAAAAGAAGCATTTCATAACGATGGAGGGATTAATTCCTCACAAGGACGTAAGAACCGTGAATGTTCATGCAGCTGCTAACAGCCTCAAAGCACAGGAAGCGAGAGCTGAGGACCGTGGCAGAGGGACACCTGCAGCCACAGCCCTATTCCTGCAGCCACGACCAGGAAGAATGAAATAACTTATCAGCCACCATCCCTCATCCCGTTATCATCCATCATTGTTTTCATTAATTCATCCATTCAGTCCAGTCTTTTTCCCGGGAATTGGTTTACTCTGTCAGTTCATTCTCTCGTTAACTCGAATCATTTGTTCATAAACTTATCAGTCTATTCACTCATTATTACACCCATTTTGTCCTTATCACCATCTTAAATTATCCCTCACTTATGTATCTACCATTGATTCAAACATCTGCCCATCCATTTACGCATACACATACACTATTTACTGGACAGAAAGTTCTGAGGCACTAGGGCCCATGTGCACTCCACAGCCGTGTTCCCCGGCCCCACATGGGTTGGCTCTCGCAGGGAAGGGAGGCTCAGCAGTTCATCTCATCCAGCTGTTCAGCCAACCACCTACTTACATAATTATCCATCCATTAAATCCCTTCAGCTGTTTTTTCACGTATCCATTGTTTCATTCATTCATTCAATTAATCCAATGTTCATTCATCATTTAAGCCATTAACTAATTCATCTACTCATCATTCGTCTACTCATTAGCTTGTTCATAAATTTATTCATTACATTCTTTTATTTCACGTTCACTCATCTAGCTTTCCACTTATTCCTGTTCTGCTTACAAACTGACCTTTGAGAAATTCTTAAACTTATTCGAATCTCAGTTTCTGTATGTTTATAAATGGGCCTTTTGGCGATTAATGAGATAATGAATGAAATTTCTTAGCACAATTCCTGACACACAGCTGTGCTCAACAGGTGACAGCCCTTATTCTTCGAAGTACTTGCAACTTAACTTTAAGTTACTAATTCCTTGGCTCGCTCACTTGCCTGTTCTCACTTTCACGCAGTTATCTAATTCACTCATTCATTCCTTCTCTCATTATCTGTCATCCGTTCATTTATCCACTCCTTGATATTACACATTTTGAACTTTCTTTTGTAAAACACAAACCACTCACCTAACCCCGCAAATTGAAGTTGTGTGGCTTGGCAAGCTGCCCACCAGGGAACAGTCCTGGGGTCAGCACTGGAGCCCAGGACCAGAATGGTGCCAGCCCCGCCTCTGGAACTCTGCCGTCCAGGTCCTTTATCACTTCTGAATGCCTGGGGTGGCACTTCGGAGAGGCGGGGTGGTGAGGGGCTGCTGGGGGGCTGGGCGAGGGGGGCCCCGGGGCTGTCCTGCAGAGTGAGGAAGGGAGCTGTGGGGCTTGTGGAGGGAGGAGAGGTACATGGAGGGATGGAGGCCCAGTCTGGCCTTGGCAGGGTGACCGAGAGGACCCGAGGGCATCTGCTTTTGGGGGGCTGTGAGAGCCCCATTTCTACAAGCCGCCGCCCTTCTTTAAACCGGGAGAGAGGAGCCCGTCCTCCCCAAGCTCCACACAACTCGGCTCCTGACCTCCTGTCACTAGGTGGCCTCGCTGGACGCTGTGGCCAGCGTGCTGCAGTCGTGGGACCTGAGCCTCACTGAGGCCATGCTCCGTAACATGGAGGCCGAGCGGCAGCGCCGGGCCCAGGAGGCCGAGCGTAACAAGGAGGCAGAGGCCAAGCGGTGCGCCCGCGGGCGGGAGGAGGGGTGGCTGGCAAGGAAGCCCTGTGACTCGGTGCTCCCTCCCACCCCAGCGTGAATCTCAAGGTGCAGCAGCTGGCTAAGGAACAGCAGCAGTGTCACAAAGAGGTGAACAGCCACCTGGGAGAAGCAGCTGATGGGGAGGAGGGAGCGCTGGGTGGGGAGACCCAGGCGTCGAGCCTGACCCGGGCTGGCGGCCCCCGGCCCTCCTGTGCAGCTGCAGCAGGCCTACTGTGAACTCAGCCGGAGGGTCACCGAACACGACAAGTGTGAGCAGAGACACATGGGCAAGACCGAGCTCACGCTGCAGGTGGGCTTTCCCCCACCCAGCCCCGGGTTCCTGGCGCGTGCCTTCCCTTCCTGAACACGGGGTGTCCTCTCCGGCAGTGGCCTCCTGGGGTGGGGGTCCGCCAACCCCTCCGTGGGTGTCTGGGCCTCCGGGTGTGGAGGGGGTACAGTCTTGCTCTGAGTGGAGTGTGGACCCTTCCCCCAGGCCATCAAAGACGCAGAGGCCCAAGTGGACAGGCTACGGCAGGAGGCCCAGAAGGCCGAGGAGTCGCTGGCCATGGCCAGGCTGGAGCTGCGGGAGCAGACTCAGGAGGGTGGGCAGGGCTCGGGCTGGGGGCGGGGGGTGGCTGGAGCGGCCAGGCGGGCACTGGGTCCTCTGGTCGGCCCCACCCTGACGTCCCCACAGGCGAGGAAGAGGCGCCCGGGCTGAAGTGCCAGGTCACTGAGCTGCACGACGTGCTAATGAAGGACGTGGGGGACCGCATCCGCGCCGATGGCCGGTCAGTGGTCCGAGACGGGCGAGGGGCCAGCAGAGGTTTTGGGCAACGTCAGTGACCTGGTGGCCACTCCTAGGTGGCCTCTTGTCATCGACCCTTCGGGCCAGGCGGCCACCTTCTTGCGCTACCAGGACACCAACTACGTGGACACGGTGAACCCGGACCACCTGCGGCCGGAGAGGATTCGGTTGGCGCTGCTGGGGGCCCTTAGGTGAGGAGGCGCAAGA